CAACTAGCGCCATTCATAAGATCATAACAGACGTCCATGAAAAATTTTGGCAGAAAAAATCCGTAATCCTATATGACCAAAAATCTATGGATTATAGAACACGAAATTCGGCAAAAATTGGGTTTTCTTGCTTTAGAGCTCGTTTGAACTTGAAAATGCGCATATATTCCCCTAGGGATCAACTGGCGCAATAAATAAGATCGTCACGGACGTTCATGAAATTTTTTAACAAAAACAATATCGGAATCTTCTCACCAAAAATTCATGAACTATAGCACATAAAAATCGTAAATTTTTTGTTTTCCTACTTTGGGGATCGTGTGAACTTGAAAATGCATTCGTTTTCCCCTCGGAACCAACTGACGCCATTAATAGGGTCGTATCGGACATTCATAAAAAAATTTGGGAAAAAAAATTCCGCAATCATGTATTACCAAAAATCCATGGACTATAACACACGAAAATCGGTAAAACTTGGTTTTACTTTCTTTGGGGATCGTTTGAACTTGAAAATGTGCCCGTTTGTCCCTTTGGACCAACTAGCGCCATTAATAAGGTCGTGACGTACGTCCATGAAAAAATTTCGAATTTTTTTTATGGAATACTGTCACAAAAAATCCATGGACTATAACATACAAAAATTGGTAAAATGTGGGTTTTCCTGCTTTGGGGCTCATTTGTACTTGAAAATATGCTCGTTCGTATTTGGGACCAACTGGCGCAATTAATATAATCGTAACAGACGTCCATGAAAATATTTGGCAAAAAAAATTTCTGGAATTCTGTATCTCTAAAAATCCATGGATTAATAGCACACGAAATTGGAAAATCTGTTTTTTCTTGATTTGGGGCTTGTTCGAACTAGAAAATGCGCCCGTTTGTCCCACGGGACCAATTGGCGCAATTAAAAAGGTCGTAATGAACGTCCATTAAAAATTTTGATAAAAACTTTTATGAAAATCCTATCACCAAAAATCCATGGACTATAGCACACAAAAATCGGTGAAATTTGGGTTTTCCAGCTTAGGGGCTCGTTTCAACTTGAAAATGCGATCGTCTTCCCCTCGGGACCAACTGACGCCATTAATAAGGTCGTAACAGACGTCTATGAAAAAATTCGAAAAATAAAATTGGAATTCTAGTTTTTCTTGCCTTGGTGTTCGTTTGAACTTGAAAATTTGCTCGTTTTTACCATTAGGATCAACTGGCACCTTTAATAAGGTCGTAACAGATGTCCATGAAAAATTTCGACCAAAAAGGTTCTGAAATTCTATCATCAAAATTTCATGGACTATAGCATACGAAAATTGGTAAAATCTGGGTTTTCCTTATTTGGGGATCGTGTGAACTTGAAAATACGTCTGTTTTTCACTCGGAACCAACTGACGTCATTAATAAGGGCGTACCAAACGTCCATAAAAGATTTTGGCAAAAAAGAATTCTAAAATCCTATCACCAAAAATCCCTGGACTATAGCACAAGAAAATCTATAAAATCTGGGTTTTCCTTCTTTGGGGTTCGTTTGGACTTGAAAATGCGCATGTTTGCCCATCAGGACCAACCGACGCCATTAATAAGGTTGTAACGGACATCCATGAAAAATTTCAGCAAAAAAAAATTTCGGAATCCTATAATCAGAAATTCATGGACTATAACACACGAAAATTGGTAAAATTTAGTTTTTTCTTCTTTGCGGCTCGTTTAAACTTGGAAATATGTGAGTTTGCCGCTCAGGACCAACTGACGACATTAATAAGGTTGTAACGGACTTCCATAAAAAAATTTGAAAATGTTTTTTGGAATCCTGTAACACCAAAAATCCATTGACTATGCACACGAAAATCGATAAAATCTGGTTTTTCTTGCTTTAGGGCTCGTTTGAACTTGAAAATGCGTCATTTTGTCCCTCGGGACCAACTGGCGCCATTGATAAGGTCGTAACGGATGTCTATAAAAACTTTTGGGAAAAAAAATCCAGAATCCAATCACCAAAAATTCATGGACTATAGCGCACGAAAATCGGTAAAATCTGGGTTTTCCTGCTTTGAAGCTCGTTTGAACTTGAAAATATGCTTGTTTGCCCCTCGGGATCATTTATCGCCATTAATAAGGTCGTAACGGACGTCCATGAAAAAATTCGGCAAAAAAAAATTTGGAATCCTGTTTCACCAAAAATCCATAGTCTATAGCACACGAAAATTGGTAAAATTTGATTTTTCTTGCTTTGGAGCTCGTTTGAACTTGTAAATGCGCCAAGTTGTCCCTCAGGACCAATTGGCGCCATTTATAAGATCCTAATGAACGTCCATGAAAATTTTTGGCAAAAAACTTTCTGGAACCCTGTCACCAAAAATTCATGAACTATGCTCACGAAAATTGGTAAAATATGTGTTTTCTTGCTTTGGGGCTCGTGTGAACTTGAAAATGCATCCGTTTTCCCCTCGGGACCAACTAATGCCATTAATAAGGTCGTAACGGACGTCCATGAAATTTTTTTGGCAAAAACATTCTAGAATCCTGTATCACAAAATCCATTGACTAAAGAATAAAAAAATGGGTAAAATCTGGTTTTTCTTACTTTGGGGCTCGTTTGAACTTGAAAATGCGTCTGTTTGCCCCTCGGGACTAACTGGCGCCATTAATAAGGACGTAATAGACGTCCATGAAAAGTTTTGGCCAAAAAAAATTCCAGAATCGTATAACCTAAAATTCATGGACTATAGCATACGAAAATCGGTAAAGTATGGATTTTCCTACTTTGGGGCTTGCTGAAACTTGAAAATGCACCCGTTTTCCCCTCGGGACCAGCTAACGCCATTAATAAGGTTGTAACGTACGTATATGAAAAATTTGGGCCAAAAAAATCTAGAATCTTGTATCACCAAAAATCTATGGACTATAACATACGAAACTTGGTAAAATTCGGTTTTTTTGCTTTGGGGATAGTTTGAACTTGAAAATGCATCTATTTGCCCCTCGGGACCAACTAGCGCCATTAATAAGGTTGTAACGGACGTTCATGAAAAAATTTAGAAAATAAAATTCTGGAATCTTATTACCAAAATCCATAGACTATAGCACACAAAAATCGGTAAAATCTGGATTTTCCTACTTTGGGACTCATTTGAACTTGAAAATGCATCTGTTTTTCCCTTGGGACCAACTGACACCGTTAAGAAGGTCGTAACGGATGTCCATGAAAAATTTCGGCAAAAATAATTCTGGGATCCTGTATCACCTAAAATCCATGGACTATAGCACACGAAAATTGGTGAAATCTGGATTTTCTTGCTTTGGGGCTCGTTTGAACTTGAAAATGTGTCCGTTTGTCCCTCGGGACCAACTGGCGCCAATAATTAGGTCTTAACGGACGTCTATGAAAATTTTGGCAAAAAAATTCCTGAATCTTATCACCAAAAATCTATGGACTATAGCACATGAAAATTGATAAAATCTAGGTTTTCTTGCTTTTGGGCTTGTTTGAGCTTGAAAATGCGCCTGTTTGCCCCTCGGGACCAACTAACGCCATTAATAAAGTCGTAATGGACGTCCATGAAAAATTTCGGCAAAAAATATCTGGAATCCTGTATCACCAAAAATCCATGTATTATAGCACTCGAAAATCGGTAAAATCTGAGTTTTCCTGCTTTGGGGCTCGTTTGGACTTGAAAATGCGTCTGTTTTTCCCTCTGGACCAATTAACACTATTAAAAGGTCGTAACGGACGTCCATTTAAAATTTCGTCAAAAAAAATCTGAAATTCTAAATTACCAAAAATTCATGGATTATAGCACACAAATATCGGTAAAATCTGATTATTTTTTTTGCTTTGGGGCTCGTTTGAACTTTAAAATGTGCCCATTTGCCTTTCGGGACCAACTAGCGCCATTAATATGGTCGTAACGGACGTCCATGGAAAATTTTGGCAAAAAAAATTTCGCAATCCTATCACTAAGAATTCATGGACACATTTCAGTTTAACAACTGAATTTTTTCCCCAATCAATTCGCTTGTTATGTTAGATATTATAGTCTCTAACTCTCTATAACCACTATCGTATCCAAAAAATATTTGTACAAACGACACTGTTATAAATCTAAAGAATTAATTATTAGGCTTAATGTTAATATATATATTACATTTGAAGTCATTTTGAATTGATTTCGATGATTTTGTAGGAAAAAGACGTGTTTTGAGTTAGTCATTGTTAGGATTTTAGCCATTTAATCATAAGAATTCAACAACATATACTGAAAAGATACTCGCAATTGATAATGTCACGAATCTTGACGATCACCAAAACTTATTATTAGTGCAAATCTCACTCAATATAATATAAAAAATCTCGACGATTCACCAAAATACGAAAAAAATTATTCGTTCGTCATTTCTTTTAATGAGGTCAAAATTTAAAGGGTGGCACTCAAAGATCCTATGTAAATGAAAGGAAAAATTGTATGAAATAGCAAACTGTTAATTCAAATTAAATGTTATAGCCATAGTTTATTTTATTTGTAATTCACAGCAAACATCCCTTTTTTTGCCATCTGATTCGGTATACAATTAGCCATTTTATACATTTCGGTATAAAATGCGTTTGTGTTTGTATATAGCGAGAGAAAGTGTATATACAAATACAAATACATATATTTTTGTTATATACACTTATAATTATATAAATGCAGATCTTATTATACAAATTACAAAACTGAACAATTTGTATAAAATTGGATGTATCTAGTGAATTATACAAATCAAAAGCTCCATAGCAAACATAAATTTTGCTATGGAACGCAATTATGCAAACTATAGCTATAACATACAAATATGATTTTTATGTTTGCTATATGTGAAAGTTGCTCTAAATGAAATCAACATAGGCCCAATATCAGTCTTCAAGGCCCATTTTGAAAGCGGGGCAAAGCCCAAATCTCATTTCATTGATTTTTGTGGTGGCAGTTAATCCGTTAATATCTGCCATTGTCACTCCTCATCTTTCCCTCTTTTTTTTTTTTCTTCTTCTTCCATGGCGATGATAACTTCAGTCACTATGAATTTTCCTCACATTTCTACTCATAATATTTCTTCAAATCCAATTTTTTCTCCAATCTGTACTAATAATCCTTCTAATTTCTCATCATCATCTTCATCAGTACCAATTTCTTCGAATTCTATCCGTTTATCATCTTCAATTGCTTACTCGGAACAAGTAATCGCGTCTCACAATGTCAATCGACGAACTCATTTGAGGAAAAATCACAAAATCAAGGTCAGCATGTATAAATAGTAACGAGTTTAAGTTACATACACTATTAGTGTAAAAAGAGTTTTACATGATCGGGTCAGGCTGGGTCGTATTTGTTTGTTGTAGCAGATAATCTGTTTTATTTTCAAGTTTACGAATCTCACATTTCAATGAGGTTTACTTGTATTTTGCACTCACAATGTATAATTTTGTTTATGGAATTAAATTTTGGAAGTATTTGTTTCTTCAGGTGATATGTGCTAGAAGTGAGCCTTTGAAGGTGATGATATCAGGTGCCCCTGCATCTGGTAAAGGGACTCAATGTGAATTGATTGTACAAAAGGTTGACTTCTCGATCCCTCTTGTTTTCTTCTGCTGTTTGATGAATAGAATTATCTTTTGACTGGAAGGTGGTAGCAACTTATTTTCCCCCGACGCCAACTAGTTAACGATTGATACATAGTTGATTGATTGTTCACGACGTTGTGTTAAATATGATTGACCATGACCTATTTGTGAATATGCTAAAGCAATTAAATAGTTCAATTCTTCTAGTTATGCATATCATTTTATGCACTCATTCCATAATGTGCCAAGTGTTTGTTATTTGTTTTTCGTGACCAGAAAAGGATGTAGTGGGATGGATGGAATCCCTCTATCCTTAACCAGAGGTATCGGGTTCAAGCAATGAGAGTGGAGAAATCTCTGGTAGGGAGCGCTTCCTCCTTCAATATTGGCCTTACGCAACACAAATCTTGATTAGTCAGACCAATGGGTTGATTGAACGAAAAAAAAGTTTGTCTTTTGTGGTGTGATGATTCATGTTGAACTAAACGAAATTTGTGAATGGGAATGTTGGTTGGTTTAAAATCTCCTCTTGAATGATATTTTATCATGGTTTGTTTCAGTTTGGATTGGTGCACATATCAACTGGTGATCTCCTACGAGCTGAATTATCGGCTGGTACAGATATTGGAAATAAAGCTAAGGAGTATATGAATGCTGGTCGCCTGGTTCCTGATGAGATTGTAACAGCTGTATGAGATCTTTCAAGTGTCTTGTTAATGAAAAAAAATAACTTTCGCTTTTTATGATTATCAAAGTCAACTTCTGTTTCAGATGGTGACAACACGATTATCAAAGGAAGATGCAAAAGAAAAAGGGTGGCTTCTGGATGGGTATCCACGAACGTTGGCCCAAGCAGAAAGTCTGGAAAGGTTGAATATCAGACCAGATATCTACATCGTGCTTGATGTACGTTCACTCTACCATTACATAATCTGCATTTTCTTTCCCGTCACAAATAAGATGATCTTTTTGAAAGTTTACTAAAGATAGGTCAGATGTTTTTGTCACTGTTTCAAATTTTGATGCTGTATGCGATATGATGTTGCATTGCTGGTAACGTAGTGCACTTCGAAATGTTTTAGGTTTGATCATAACAGAAATTAAAATATCTACTGAGTTGAGGATCACTTTAAGTAGGTTGAGTCATTCATACATGTTCAGTGGACAAAGACATTGTAGAAAACATGAAAGCCTGCCTCTAAATGTTGTTTGGACTCTCCACACCCGTGACAAATCGTCCAAAAATACACTACTTTTGGAGGATCCAACATGCATCAATCGACAGTTTGAAAAGTTCGAGCAATATAACCCTCAGCTATATTATGTTGAGTGATGCAGTCAATGACTTCCTTGAACACTACTTGATGAAAGCAAATGGATTGATAAAATAAGTGAAGTCTTCTTGTCTAAGCACACATTCGTGAATCGATATGGTGTCCTATGTTCTTCTTCTGGTCATAGCACACATTCATGAATTGATGTGGTTGTCCTATGTGCTTTCTCTGTATATACCAAAAAGAGGTATAATAGAGCAAGAGTGAGATAAAGAATTTCCAAATTTTAGTGGAGAAATTCACAAATAGAATCTGAATTAAGAAGAAATCTTAAGAGCCCGTTTGGATTGACTTATTTAAGTGCTTTTAAGCTAAAATAGCTTTTTAAGCACTTTTGGAGTGTTTGGGTAAGTTAAAAAGTGCTTATAAAGCACTTAGTTTTAAGCTAAAATGTTAAAAATAAGCCAAAGCCATAAGTTAGAAATGAAAAGCAAATCCAAACAGGCTAGTCTGCTTCTTCTTCCATTTGATTTGTGTTCGATCTTTTACACAAAAAGTCCTTCTCTTCTACAGGTTCCTGATGAGATTCTTATTGACAGATGTGTTGGTAGAAGGCTAGATCCTCTCACTGGTAAGATATACCATGTTACTAATTTCCCTCCAGAGACCGAGGACATCAAAGCAAGGCTCATAACTCGTCCTGATGACACAGAGGAAAAGGTACTTTTAACCCCCACATTGTTTGCCTTGCTTTAGTTTACTAGACGTATACTTGCTACTAAGACTGGTTTATACAAACCATTTTTGTGCTTCTGATATTCAAGACACCATAATATAGACTAATCCTACGTAGTGCCCATCTTTGATATATCTAGAAAAGCTGAAGCATCTAAGATATCCACAAGTCTACAGTTTAACCAGGTGTGTTAAATGTATTTCAGGTAATTTCACGTCTGCAAATATACAAGCAAAATGCTGAAGCAATATTACCAGTGTACTCAGATATAATGAATAAGGTAGATTTGGCATTTACTCTTGTTATAGTATAATTTTGAAATTCTGTATGTTTTTCTAGTGATTTTTACTTATGAGGTGTGACATACAGATTGATGGGAACCGCGGCAAAGATGCAGTATTTGCAGAAATTGATTCCTTATTGTCATGTGTGCAGAAAGAGGAACAAGATGCAAGAAAATCAGGTGTGAATCTTTTTTCTTTAGAAATATATCTCTTAAGGTTCTTTGTATTCTATGGAGAGCTATGTTTTAACTAAATCGACATTCCTGGCTGATCTCGGCAGCATATAATCCTATAAGAGATGTAAAGATTGCGTAACACATGATTAACCATATGTCTCAATTATCAATCCCCCCCCCCCCCCCCCCCCCTCCACTCGCT